TGATCGGCGTTAATTTGAATTCCGTGCTGGTGAGATAATTAATGCCCTGCAGAACCAGGGGAGCACCAAGTTTCTCTACTGCGAAAATAAAAGAATTCCGGAAAATAATTGCGTAGAACACAATCTGTCCGGCTTCCAATTAGAACTTCTTTCGTCGCGGCTTTATTTGTTGCGCTGAAGTTCCCCTAACTTTTTAATTAAATTTTATTCATTAACGCGAATGTATAACGGGAATGGAAACCTTGAGCCGGTCGCTTGATAAAACGTAAGATGTCCCGCCGAAAATGCGAAGGTTTATTAAAACGTGACTGCACGTCGGAAATTGAACGAGGTCGCGGATTAATTTTTAAAAAGCTCGCCACATTTGCGGGCAGATAATAATAATTAAGTTTTCGCCCCGGTACCACTGGTCCCGACGAACGTGATAACGCGACGGGAAGGAAGAAGAGGAACCAAACGATACGTATAACGAAATCTTCGTTTGAAATAATCTCGAAAAAGTCATTAAAATTTCACTCGTAACAAGACAATTACATTTAATTCACACTTTTTTCCGTAATCCCCGAACCTTGTCAGATTCCGCCCAGACCGAAAGCTCGTTCCAGATTTCATTGGGTAATTTTAATTTTAACATGTAAAAGTTTAATCCCGCAGAATAAGCTTCTACGCGTACAATTTTATCTCGCCTTAAGTAGAAAATATTCTAAATTTCATTTGGTAATTTTAATTTTAACATGTAAAACTTTAATCCCACGGAATATCTTGTACTAGAGTCTAGCAAAAATTTTGCGCGGAAGAGCATAATAACGGTTCCGAAATGTTGAAAACGTAACGAGACTGTATGCATTGTGTCTGACTTCCGAGTTCCCCGGTCTCGTTTCTTCGTTTCAAAAATGTGAAGAATTTTCGAGCTGCCATTTGATTCTGTATTTTTTTCGTTTTAATTTAGCCAATTAAAAGTTTCTGTGCTGTTTGGTGAACAATCACCTAAGAATATCTGCAAGCTCGTAGCTTGTCAGGGAACAATGGCACTTTGAAAATGTTTTCATCCAACGAAAAGCACAAAAACGTAGATTCGTTTCTCATTTAGTTTCTATCGCTTCGCGGTTTCAAACGAAATTAGTAGATAGGGGTTGGAAGGGGGTCATGACGGGGAGCAAGGTAAGATGGGATATCGCAACTTAACGCTAACTGAAAGATGCTAGACACGTGACAAATACAACGATAGGAAACTATTATATTTGGGTCGCCGTTAACAATCAGTGGGCGAGCACACGTCTTTTGTTTGTAGCTGTGAAAGTCGGTCAAACTGTTCGCGTGCTACGTCGATCTTATTTTGTGTGACATCAAAATTTATAATACATATATATTGAAGAACGGTAAGTCCATTGTTATTCTTATATTATAATCTTTATTTCATCTATTTTAATGCGAAATATTCAAAATTAGAATATTTTTTTATGCGTTGTACAAATATGTAATAATTAATTTTTGGAAAACGATGGTTTGAGGCAAGATGGGATCTTTGATACTGACTTTATATTGTCCCAACCATGTCACCAAATACTAGACTGTTAACTTATAATTGTATTGTCATTCATAAAGACTTAATTAAGAGGTACATTATCACTTTATTTGCATTCTTCTTCAGCTTCCCAATAGGAATAATTAAGGAACCGTGGAATGTTGGCGACGCGGACTCGTCGACGGTATTGTCCCGCGTCATTAAACCGCGAACAAAAAGTGTATACTCGGGGATGGAATGAAAACAGAAAAATGGTGTGACGCGACGGGACGTACGGAAAGAGGGAGCATCCAAGTGCACGCCTACGGCAGGTGAAATCTAACGGAAGATTGAAGAGGGTGACCGGTTCATGTTACAAAGCGGAGAACGCGCGAGAAAGTCTTGCTGCAAAGAGAGGTAATTAGCGTCAGACGACTCTCGGATTAATTAAAACGGTTCCTTGAAAATGCGACGTCTATGGTAACTTAAAACGAGGAGAGAAAGGGCTCGAAGCGAGAGGGCTATTTCGCAGCCGTTTCACGGGGAAACTTGCCAAATATAATTGAACGGTTTCAGGCTAAAATTGGATTACTCTCGATCGTTTGGACCTGTCTAATTCGCCTCATTCACATTCGTTTCGCACGGATTTCTCTTCAATTCGAAATTCTGTGAACACCGATAACTTAACGAAAGGACGAGGAAAATAATTAACATATTCTTCGGGATATTTTCGTTGTCTGTATTTTGTGGTAACATTTTCACAGATAAGGAATAAGAAATCCCATCGCGAAATACATTATTTCCTGAAAATGATTAAAAAGGAATAACGTTTCGCCATTTTTCTACCATCGTAATTGGTAGTTTGCTTACGATAAATTGTTATCCTTCTTAATTACTTTCGAAGCCGAACAGACTACACTACCCGTTTAATCTAATGCACTGTTACAACGAGGAAATCAGAGTCCGTTACGTATTTACATTCGTAAAAAATTCTTTACACGGCGAAGACCTCGACTAACGACATTACTTATCGTTTGTTTTTGTTAACTACAAGACGTTGTTTGATTCGTTTCATTCTATAAAAAACGCTTACGAGTAATGGTACAACGTTACAAACGAGTAACGGAAAATACAATGGAATTTTGCAAACTCTTACGATTCTGGATGAAAGACTCGTGTTACACGGAAGTTTATGTTGTGTTTTGCGCGCATGCTGCCAACACATCCGGCGAAACAATATATAATTTTTCTTCTTTCGACATTCGAATGTTTTTATCTGCGACATTTTGGTCGTTGTTTGCGTTATTAATGAAATAAATATTCTCTATGCAAATGTAACACTGTTATATTTCTCTCTGAAAGAACTAGTATCTGTAATATGTGTGATATTTATGTACGCAGCCCCAGTGATTCAAATGTTTAATTTATAAGGGCAAACTTGTATAAAATTTCTTGACAGCGAACGCGTCGTCTTATCCATGTGCTACAAGGAAGGTGTCCCGCTCGGTTTCAGCAATCGCTTTTCACTTTCCGAACGATATTCGCTAATCGGGATATTTGGACCGTCTCACTTCTACTTCTTGTGGTCCCTCGGGTACAACAAAAACGCAACTACCGCTTACCATATGAAAATAATAATAATAATAATAAACACAACAGTAACTACGTGCGAGAGGTGTGATTTATAGGTACGAGAAATTTTTCCTTAGACCCTTTCAAACGACCCTAATATAACTCATGAAAATGAAATGGAATGGGACGTAACGAAATGGAATGAAGTTTCATTAAAAAGTTTTTCTACAGGTAAATTGCAAGGAAAAAGTAATCGTACACCGCCGTAATCACGATGGTTCAAACGGTTCGGTAAAGAAAGCAAAGCTGAGTAGTAATCAGTACGAATAGCCGTACACAGGTTAACAGTAAACCGTTTTCTCGTTTCTTTCCTTAATCCTTAGTAACAGTGTTTTTACTTAACTCCGAGCGGCCCAGTGTTATACTCGGTGTACAGTAGCCGACACATAATTTTATTTAGAGAAAGAAACTCGTTCTCGGATTCTCGGCGTACTTGCTCTGCAAGCTCTGCCCCGTTATCACGATTCTCCTTACTTTTTTTTTAAAGGGCCTTAGAAAGGATCCACGTACCTCTACACCACATCCTGAAAATTCTCCGGAATGAATCGTGGACGACGGAGTCTCTGTCGTTGTACTTGACAAAAAAAAAAATTACTTTCGCGTAATGCTTTTTCCATGCATTAACAACGATGAAGACTTTTACGCTGACACAGACGAACCATCTTAACTTCGGCGAAAAACCATTTTTACGTATTTTTACATTCGCAACGTTCTTTCATATTAGCTCTCTACCGCGAATTTACCTTGTTCGTCTCCCTTAAACTTTAACCTCACATTCCCCTCTTTTCATCGTTGATTCGACCCTCGAAACTTTCGCAAATTGCTCCCTTTGATATGTGATGATTGGAACCTCCTCGGTTGCTTCATAAATATTGATCTTAGCTGGCAACCGATTTCGACTAACTATGTAGAATTGTAGATGTTCGAGAGAACCATACATTTGCACCATTTAATTTATTCAAGGTTTTACAACTGTATAATATTTTCACCGAAATCTCATTCCGAACACTGGAAATAGATCAATAAATTAGTTGTCTTCCTGTGCGGTGTAGGTTCCGTTCCTTTTCTCGTAAATTGATTGCTCGCGAGGGACACACGAGACAACACGTTTCTCTGGAACGCGTTGATTCTATTTTCCAACGATAGGAAGAGAATGTAACAAGTTTGCCGTGATACCAAGTCGCTTCGAAGTCGCTTATTCTTCTCGAGGTGAAAGTATCGAAACGTCGGAACGATGCGAAAGTTTCGAGAACGAGCAGAAGCGAGTTTATTATTGAACCGCCTCGACGACGTTTCCACAACAATGTTCCGACCGTGTTTTTATTTAATTAAATCCTGCTTCGATAGCAGCTGCATACCGCTGTAACTCGCTCTTCGATTCTATCGTGGAATTACGACGGGCGGCGTGCTTGTGGCCAATCACTGTGAAACAGTCGTTAAAAACCCGGCATTTGTTCGATCGAATGATTTCAACGATTGGGCATGAAACGGTAATGAACGCGATTTCGTTGCTTCGAATCAATTACCGCCGCCAGTTTACGTTCACTCCTTGCGGGAGAAAATGGTCGGAAACTGTTCGTTGACCTAATCTTGCAAAGGCGGAAATGAGACGAACGATCGTACAGTTTTATACTTACCGTCGATGCTTAACCTTGGCGAGCGGTGATCCGAAGGGTCTACCAGTTACGCAAATAACCGGAACTATTTCGACGACTAAATATTTATTTGGACAAAAATTAGTTTCAAACGATATCGAAAAATTGAAGATGATCGTTTTACGGAGTACATAATCGAAATGGTTCGGATTACGTACCGTACTCTGTGCTTTCTCATATTCAAGGTTTTTCGAATGTACTGGGTCAAGTGTAAAAACAGTGATCATGGTTCTTATAAAAAAGTGGACGTTACGAGGTAAGAGTATTTACAAGTATTTCGGTCGGCCGATTTCAGTTCATCGCGCACACATCGGAATTAACGGTCGCACCTAGAAATATGAGGATCCGGTTGGCTAAATCGCTATCGAGAGAAGGAGAATCAGACTGACAATGCGTAGCGTAGCGCATATTCTGTCACTGATGCTGTGATGCATCGCCGCAGGATGCTCTGCAACAGAAACAAAGTTACCAGAATGTGTACGTCTATAATATGAGACGGAATTTAAAACGACGTTCGCGATCGTGAAAACGTTTCCCCGCTCGATCCACGAAAGGGGAACGCGTCAACGCTTCCACTTAGTTTGTGTAATTATGGAAAATTACGTGCGAACAGCGTGTTCTAATACGTTGGAGTAGTACGTAAATGAAATTTTGGAAACTCCAGAAACTGCTCGGAAACGCGGCGTTCGCTCGTTCGCAGCGAACTCTTCCGTGAAGTTTCTCGGCTCCTTCGGGATCCCGTCGCGCGAAAGGGGCCAACTTGCGTGCGACCAATCGTTTCATTTTGATTACGCGATTTCCACGACGTGATTACGCGTGTATTGAATTTCTACGTGAGCGTTCTTACGTAGCGAAAGAACATTTTCTGTATCATAACGAAATCGTCTGCTACATACAACATAAAATTGTGTTCCAAGCGAGAATCACCATGGTTTCCCAATTGTGATTCTTGAATGCTGACAACACTTTCACGACGTGTCTTTTATGTTTATCTCGAAAGCAGTCGTAGTCCGTCTGCTTGTTAGTTATTTGAATCATCGCGTTGTCCCGTCGCGTTGGAACTCTATCGCGACATTCAACCGGGGTTTCTTTTGCGTTCTTCTCCTTTCAGCTTTCCGCCTCAAACGAAGGGTAGAAAGAAGAAAAGTGGGGTGTGGCGTTGAAGAGTGGTAATTGAGTGCACTCGTGTGTGGAGGGGGGTGTCGGTTTCCCGGGGAAACGGTGTCGCGACGAAATAAGTTGACGAGCCGGCGCGGCGTTCCTATGTTTTCCTTTACCGTTAACAATGTGAACCCGCACGCTGTTCGGATAAGTGTTGCTCGGCGAGCACGTGTAAAGTCCGGAGTCTTTCTTGATCGCTTTCTGAATGAGCAAACGGCTGGATGTCACCGGCCCCCTTTCCGTGACCAGGCTGATGCCGCCCCTCGGCGAATCGAAGTTAATCGCCTGCCAAAGAAACAAGACAAAGAGAGAGAGAGAGCGTATCGCGTTATCTGACTGTGACGTGACCACTCACGAATAAAGGTACTCGGCGCCGGGACAAAGCGAGAACGAACTACCGGTGACAGCAAGTGACTTTCTCGAGTAGTAAGTGGTGGAATGCATCGTGAGACAAATCCCTCTAAAACACGTTCTCACATCGCGAAACGTTTGATCGAATCTTCGGAACTCTTTTGAAAGCAAATTCACGAACGCGTTTTTACTGTATATTCTACTCCCCCTCGTGGTAGGTACATGATATGTACCTAGGTATTCTGGTGCCGAAACAATATCATTTTGCTACTTTCAAAGTAAAAAAATCAGATACCGTGTTTCCATTTCCGCGAATTAGACCCCCACGCTAGTTGAATGGAATTACAAATTGTTATAAATTATCGGTCCGACGATGATCCACAGATCGATACGGCTAACAAGTTTCACGTAGTTACACTCGATCGGATGATCCATAACGAGACTCGCAATGTAAACTACCTCAAAGAGTTCTCTAGCAAACAGAACGGAAAATCATTCAAGATGAAGAGCAGTTTAAAGAAAATAAAGGGGTGAATGTAAAGAAAATAGAACGGTTTTCAATGCATCTTTAACTCGTCCGATGTGTCCGCGTTTATCCTTTGTTCTATCTTCATCATTCGCGATAGAACTGAAAAGAAGAAAGGCCTGAAATTTCTTTTCGTAATAAATCTCTAGAGTATTCCCATTCCTCGATCGGCCCAAGTTTCATCTCTGCCGTGAATAATTTACGTTCCACCTGTCTGTATTTTCATGCGATTCACCTGGGTCGTTGTTCCGAGAACAATCGCGAGTTTGTTAGGTGTCATAAATAACGACTGCGACTGCAACGACAGTCGATACCGCGAAATAACAATGGGGTGTCGGTCGGGTATTCGTGCGTTTCTTTTTGACGTATCGAGGAGTTGCGAAGAACGTGTCGGTTTACTGCCAGCGCCGAGTTGCCACGTTCGTGGTCCACGACAAGATTTAAACGACTAGCGTCGCTTTGATCCGTGAACGTTCATCGACGGAAATGCGTGTCCAACAGACGGTTTACCTCGTGATTATGGCTCCAAACGATCGCGGTCGGTGGCTCGGGAGCATTTCTGACCAAGCACGTCAGATTTATCGTGCTGTCCTTGTTGATGAAGAGATCCGGCCCACCGGCGATCTCCGTGACTGGCTCTGCAATTAGAAAGAGCCCTTTCGTTTACGTTCGATTAATAGCAACGGTTCACCGAAACCTCGTGTATTCAACGGAGGGAAACACGTGCCAGCGTTTTACCAACCTGAGCGGAGAAAAGGAACGGTCCGATCGGCTGGACGGAAGGACTTCGTTGTTTTTGCTCGACAGTGCTCAAATTCAATCTTATTGTTAGACACGGGAGGAACGGTCGACTCGCCGAATAAAATCCAATAATGGCAAACTGAGATCTGTTGATACGATATAGGTATCTGATACCTTTCTTTGAAGGTAAGACTTGACCGGGAGAATACCGATCGGGTCGATTCTACATGGTTCGGAATTGCCTCTGAAAGAATTCGCGTCGCGTACAATCAACGAAAAGCCGGGCTACTACGAAACGCGTTTACTTATCTGGAAGAGCGAACGATGAACATTTTTCCTTCTAGAAAAATCCTCCGGTACATCGTCGCGATTAAAGTATCGGCGTAGATACGCCGCGCCGTTTAGTATTACGTTCAGAGCTTCGCATCGTTGATTCGATGGAACTTTTTCAAATATCTTGTAATTTCTGGGAAGTCGTGGTACAAGTTCGTGGTTGCAATACGAATAGTGAAATGCTCGAATGTTCGGTGTCGAGTGTGGATTATCTGCCGGTCTGTTTCAGCATTTCCTTGGTTTGCTGACCAACTTGTGCGGTGTGCTCGACAACTCAGAGATCTTCATTTCCTCTCTAGGAATACGTCTTCGGATAGTTGAAAGCAGCCCAGCGTTGGCGAGCCAACGTCGACAACGACTGCGCGATTCCCTTTCATCGAACAATTTGCTGTTTAATATAACGTGTCGCGAAGTATAATTCTATGTACCATCGTCGGAAAAAACGTTGACTATATACGACAAAAGTAAGTATAATTGAGCGAACATTTCTGAGTAATTGTAACCTCGTTAAACGTTGCTAAAAATAGTGCTAAAATTTGCTCGATACAAAATCAGTCACCTTCCTCGAAAAGTTGAATTTTCTCCGCGGATGATTCCATTAACCACAGCGTATATACGTTTACCGTAGATCGTTGCGTCCAAAGCAAACATTGACACTGGTAATCATGTACGTAGGTAGGTAGTTCAGTCTTGTTATTCCCCTGATATTTTGTAGCAAGGAATAACAGGTTTATCTGCAGGACTATTTACTGTGGTGGGAAAGGAGAAACAGGACCGTTTCCTCAGGGATTCCTCGAGTTTCTCGAATTCTCTTTGGTCAGTCATGATTTGCTGGCCAATCCTGTCTTCCTCCTGTTCTATCTTCGGTGTCGTTGGCTTAGGGGCTTCAACATTCCCAGGCAAATACGTCTGGGGCGAAAATAGAGACATTTGCCGGGCAAAGGTGGAGTGAACATACAATTAGTCGCCATAGTTGTTTCGCGCTATTCTGGTCGTAATACGTAGTATGTACTTAATTGTCCTGCTTATCTTGCGCAGAATACGTTCCTAGAAACACTGCTCTTCACGAAATTGATACGCGTTTTGTTCTTGCTCTGGTATTCCTTCTAAATATAACGTGTCTCACCCTCGAATGGGTAAAAATATTTTGTCGTTTAAAGTGCAACTCGATGATCGAGCAATAGGAATGGAGAATGTTTTTCATCGAGAAACATTGGAACCGCTGCTTCCACGATTCTACTGTATTCTTTAAGATTCTTCGAGATCAGCTGACGAGTTTCTGCATTTTCCTGGATAACGTCGTCCGGTGTCCGTTCGAGTGGAACCCGACAGCACCAAGAGATCTTCATTTCCTCTGGAGGAGCGCGTCCCTAAGCGGCATCGTACCCCTTCAACGGCATATTGCTTCTCCTCCGAGAACTTCCAACGGACAGGAGGAAGAAGAGGGCTGAATATCGGTATAGCAGACGTTTTACGAGGTACTAGCGGCACCTCGAGAATTCACTCCTCGAGGAATAATCCATCCGCTCCTTAGTGGCTGCCTCGAAGGAGATTCGACAGCACCTGCAGGGCTAACCGATCGATTGCGCCCCGAAGTTTAACAGAGGACAAATTGACCCAGTGAACTACGGCTGATTCGATCCATCGATCACGGATTCTGCGTATCACGGTTCAATTTCCTGGGGTTCCGTCGGAACCACGTATTTCAAATGTTTACCTTCGCGAATCGAAGTTTCGAACTTACCGATAAAGGATAAAATGATGCTTCGAGCGGAAGACAATCAGCGATGCTATGAAATCTATAATATACGTCGAATATTACAAGTCGATTGCGTAAAATATACGACGGCTGTAATTATATAAAAACCAGAAATTTTAATTTTAACATTTGCGAATAAAAAAGCGCGTGTGCCGAAATTCTTTTACGAACTGGTACGCCAAGTTCTATCAACTTGGGTTTATCCTACCGAAATCCGTAACGTTCGACTAATTCGGTAAATTAATATCTAACCAAACCATTGATCTCTGTCCTTAATCGATCTTTGCTCGACCTCCTGGCAACTCCAGGAAATAAATCGAGGAGGCACCGGATACGTAACTCGACCGCGACTTCGGCCGCAATTGAATCACCACGGCTCTCCAGTCGACGCAAAAAAGGCCAACAAGTGGGGGGATAGTAAATCGACGCTTCACCAAGAATAGAATTCCCTTCGACGTTGATACACCGAAATCCTGAGATCTAATCAAATTGATTCTGCGGCTTTCCAAAGGACGACTCCTGCTTTTTATTTAGACTTCGAGTGACTTATTGTCAATCTGGATAATCATTTGCTGTTAAACAATTTGAAATTATAATAACAACTTGTTCGTTTATAGAAGGAAAACATGATTAATTTCAGTCAGCAGTGTAACGCTTATAATTTCTAAACATAAGTACATTACCTCTGCAACGAAAAGATTTGATATTTGCATTTTTGTGTTTGAGTTTGTCTCTGCACAGTAAACCGATAACCCGTAATTTGTCGGAGAACTTTTCCATGGAATACGAACCGGAAATTTCCCATAGCGCGATGAACGGAATCGTGCAATTCGGTATAGCGTTCTGTCTGGAAACGGTCAGACCATGAATTTCAACGTGACCGATCGGAACAACACCTTGCTGGGCAGAGAAAGAGAGAGAGAGAGAGAGAGAGAGAGAGAGAGAGAGAGAGAGAGAAGGAGAGGGAGAGATAGACAGATAAATTATTCCGGAACGTGAAAAGAGGCCGGGATCGATAATGAAGCTTCGCCCAGTCCCACGAAAGAGGGAAGGTTCAGCGTCGCAAAGCGATTTCCATTGCGGCTGAAAATCGTGACCGGCGTTCGTAAGGACAATAATGCTGGACTCGGTGGTATCCTTTCGCAGTGATCGAGGACGTTCACCCGACAGATATACACACAGCTGACGGTATTGAGTGTGGCTTAACGTAGGACGAGCGAGGGACAAGCGTGCAACCGAGCGCATGCATTATTACCGTACCCTGAATCCGTTCGATCTCTTCGGTTTCAGCCATTTCAGGGCCTAGGACCCATGTGTTACGCGCCATATCCTCGACCAGTCTCCTGTTCCCATCTTCCTATCACCAGGACGGACATTTCTCTGAGCGATAATAATCGTCCGTCCACGCCATTACCGATAGAAATTGATTGCGTCCGGATGTGCTCATCGACAGCCACGCTTTTGCGTGACTGAGGGCCGAGGGCTGAGAGCTTGCTTAGAAGCACGGAAATCGGACCTAACTATGGATCGCTACATGAAACCTGCCCATCTAAACCCATCGACAAATCGTTTTCTTTCTCAGTTTCTCAGGAACAATTGTAAGAATGGAACATCTCGAAGTGCAAAACGTTCCGGAGAAATATTTTCTGGAAAAAGTTGTCCTATAATTTTCGACCATAAAAAGAATCCTCTCTCTATGTAAATGTATTTATAGTCGATTCAACGGTTCATGGCTGTCAGCGACTTATCTTATTTTCTTAGACTTTACGTATATTAGATTCATATTCTTAAGAAGACTCTTTTTTGGTTTTTACCGTAAAATTGTGAAATCCTGTTTCTTTCCTCGTAGTGGTTCAAGTCTTGTAATCTACGATATTACACGTCCCGTCAATAGCAATAACCCAGTTACAACCCTTGGGTCTACGTTTCCTCCAACATTTCCACATAGCAAATTTGCAAGTCAAAGCGGAAAACATTTCGTGCATTGATTTGCTAGCCGTGTCACTGCTTCCGCAATACGATTTCGTATTTGCGCGGGATACAAAACTTGATGTCGGTGTGGGCAAAGTTTGATTAAAAATAATGAATGGATACGCGAAAAAGAACGAAGTATTATTAAACTTGTTATTTGCAGGAGTAACGCTTTGAGAATCGGCGAGATGTCATTTGCACATCCGCAAGAGTGCTGACTAAACAGACTGAGAAATCTCGCCAGAAACTCGATGAAGCGATTTTTCATGGGCTCTTATCCTTGAAGAATTTCGCAAGGTCTTTTTTGACCTAATACCGTCGACGTTATTGAACGAAATGATTTTAATAACCGACCGTTAAAAATTTTATTAGCAACCGTGCTCCGTTGAAGGTAATTTTACTTATCCATATCTTTATTCAATTTGATAGGGATATTTTCCGGCGCAATTAAATTCTTTACTAAATTACTCTCTGAATTACAACGGAAAACGACCGACTCGTATTAACTATCTGACAAAACCATTTTCATCCTTTTAATGTACCGATGTAAAAATGTTCTTAACTGTTCTTCTATCGTGTTCGTATTTCAAAATGTATGCGACAGCTTTATCCTTTGTCTTTAATCCGTTATCCTCAAGCATAAGCTATCCATGAACTTATGTATTTAAATATCTCATTATACGAGTCTAAATATGAATATTCCAAATCATAGAGTCTTTTCCGAGGTGTTTGAAAATTATTCACCCGAGCGTAAGTATACTCGTCCTGCTTCCGGAACCCGGTCTAAGAAAACTTGTAATGTTCTATACTCGACGGCGCGGAAACTTCTTTGAT